TACATTGTAGAGCTTCGCACGGCGGTGCCATAAGGGTTATGTATAGTATTGTGATCGCTGGTGTTGTTCATGTGCTCGACGCATGAGCGCAGGGGCAGAGCACAGTATGATGTTCTTTTCATACCGCAGCTTGCAACACATCTTTTTGTCGCGTGTGTGTGCTTCTTGTTTTTTTGGACTTCTTGTTTTCTTTGTTTTTTGTTCTTCTTCTTCTTCTTGCAACACATCTTATTTTCGCATTTTTGTGGGCCCCTGAAAATCGTCACATAGGTGGTGTTTTCGCCTTGTTTGACTCTTGGAGCAAAAAAACACCGTAAATACCGATGTTTTTTGCCTCTGGTAGCAAAAGTCACAGTATTTACAAAGGTTTTTGGCTTGCGCCTAGCAAAAACACGGGTATTTACGCAGTTTTCAGCATGTCGCAAGAAGATGCAAGAAGAATTTCCAAAGGCACAAAAACACTAAATTACAGTGTTTTGGCTCTTGGCAAGCGCCAAAAAAACAGCAAACATCCACCAAAAAGTGCCCAAAATTGACCTCAAAAAAACGTCTTGCCGAAGGAAGTTTAGAAGTCAAACTTCCGACAATATGGACAGATGTAAAGCAGAGACGGGAAGAGTCAGAGAGAAGAGAAGAGCAGAAGAGAGAAGATCAGAGAAGAGAAAGAGTCAGAAGAAAGAAGCTCAGATGCGCGAAAAGGTAGGAAAGTCGCGAAACACTGCGTTCTTCCAATGATTTGTGGCTCCGGAGGGTCGAAAAGTAGGGTCGCTAAAGCGGCGGGTGCGGAGCCATCTGGCCAGATGAGAGATGAAAAAGTGCACGCCGTTGTGGCGCGAAGCACATTTCGAAGTCAAAATGTACAAAGCACACCGTTGTCGGACCACTTTTGGAAGTTGAGATGTCGAAACAGTGCACGCCGTTGTGGCACGAAGCACATTTCGAAGTCAAAATGTACAAAGCACACCGTTGTCGGACCACTTTTGGAAGTTGAGATGTCGAAACAGTGCACGCCGTTGTGGCGCGAAGCACATTTCCAAGTCAAAATGTACAAAAAACTACATGTTCGCGCCGCTTTTGGAGGTTCAGATTCAGATGCCGAAAAAGTGCACGCCGTTGTGGCGCGAAGCACATTTCGAACACGAGGGGTTCGGACCACTTTTGGACGTTCAGATGTCGAAAAAGTGCACGCCGTTGTGGCGCGAAGCACATTTCGAAGTCAAAATGTTAAAAACACCAGGGGTTCGGACCACTTTTGGACGTTCAGATGTCGTTTCGCGTAGCAGGGGCAAGGGATTGCGCACCTTCTCAAAAGTGAGCAAAACGTGAGGGTTCTGTAGCACGGCACGCGTGGGACATTTGAAGAGGATCTGCAAAGGATGCATTTTCCGTGGCAGGCGCAGTACAAGAGACATCGTCATCAGAGCTGTTAGGACGCCCGGGCGCTGATTTCCTGAGACAGGTTGCAGTTTGGAGCATCAGATCTTCAGGTTTGCCGAGATGATTTTGCGTGACAGGTGCAGCACTTCCTATGACCTGGCATCATTTTTTCGTGGCAGGCGCAGTACTTTAGACAGGTGGACTGGAAAAATCGCAAAACGCATTGGCACGAGGCCGTCAGCGCTGCACTCAACTTTCCATTTTTCCCCAAACAGTTTACTGTTAGGGGTTCTCATGTCTGTGCCTTGTCTCCCTTCATTTGCTTGGATGTCTCCCTTAATGTGTCTCCCTGAGTGGTGGTGTCCGCCTCTCCGGTCTTGTCTGTGCCTTGTCTCCCTTCATGTGTCTCCCTGAGTGGTGGTGTCCGCCTCTCCGGTCTTGTCTGTGCCTTGTGTCTTCATTTGTCTCCCTTCATGTGTCTCCCTGAGTGGCAGTGTCCGCCTCTCCGGTCTTGTCTGTGCCTTGTCTCCCTTCGTGTGTCTCCCTGAGTGGTGGTGTCCAACTCTCCGGTCTTGTCTGTGCCTTGTCTCTTCATTTGTCTCCCTTCATGTGTCTCCCTGAATGGTGGTGTCCGCCTCTCCGGTCTTGTCTGTGCCTTGTCTCCCTTCATTTGTCTCCCTTCCGTCATGTGTGTCCCTGAGTGGTGGACTGTCCCCTCCCGGTCGTTGTCTGGATTGTCTCCGTTCATGTGTCTCCCTGAGTGGTGGTGTCCGCCTCTCCGGTCTTGTCTGTGCCTTGTCTCCCTTCATTTGTCTCACTTCATGTGTCTCCCTGAGTGGTGGTGTCCGACTCTCCGGTCTTGTCTGTGCCTTGTCTCCCTTCATTTGTCTCCCTTCATGTGTCTCTCTGAGTGGTGGTGTCCGCCTCGCCGGTCTTGTCTGTGCCTTGACACCCTTCATGTGTCTCCCTGAGTGGTGGTGTCCGCCTCGCCGGTCTTGTCTCCCTTCATGTGTCTCCCGTCATGTGTCTCCCTGAGTGGTGGTGTCCGCCTCGCCGGTCTTGTCTAGTGTTGTCCTCACTCCCACCCCGACAGACGATAAAGACGAGAGAGAGGGGATAGATATCCCTTATGTGTCTCCGGGTTGGTTGGTGTCGCCTATCCGGGGATTGTATGGGAACTTTCATTAATTGTCTCTTCCAACACCAGGTATAATGGAGTGGTTGGGTCCGACTCAAGTCTTGTTATTGATGGCATTGTACTCAAATCATTTGTCTCCATTTAACCAACGGTATAAATGGTGGTGGTGTCCAGCCTATCCGGTCTTGTATCGTGGAATTCTGTCTACCATTCATGTGGTTCCCTGAGTGGCGGTACAATCCAACTGTACGCATACCAGGGTCTTGTTATGTGCGCACTTGTCTCCAATCATTTGTCTTTCCATTTTCCACCCCATAATCATTGTCTCCCTGAGTGGTGGTGTCCGCCTCTCCAGTCTTGTCTGTGCCTTGTCTCCCCCTTCATTTGTCTCCCTTCACGTGTCTCCCTGAGTGGTGGTGTCCGCCTCTCCGGTCTTGTCTGTGCCTTGTCTCCCATCATGTGTTTCCCTGAGTGGCGGTGTCCGCTCATCGGTCTTGTCTGTGACTTGTCTCCCCATATGTGTTTCCCTGAGTGGCGGTGTCCGCCTCTCCGGTCTTGTCTGTGCTTTGTCTCCCTTCATGTGTCTCCCTGAGTGGTGGTGTCCGCCTCTCCGGTCTTGTCTGTGCCTTGTCTCCCTTCACTGCCGTACAGCAATGCCACGGCCAGGGGGCCCTGGCCGGACTTAAGGACTTACGCCCGACAGCAGGCCAGGGGCCCGCATGAGTGTAAAGGATCATAAATAGATTGTAAAGAAGAAGTGAGGGTAAAGGATCACAAATATATTATAAATAATAAAGGGGCACATGGGAAAGCCCAAAAACACCGTAAATTGCGGGATGTTTGTAGGGTCGGCGTTGCTGTTGCTGTTGCTGCTGCTGCTGCTGCTGTTGTTGTTGTTGTTGTTGTTCTTGTTCTTGTTCTTGTTGTGTGCTTCACGAGGCCCCATGTCTCGTGCATTCTCATAGCAAGGTCCTGGACTGTGAGCTTTACCCCCCTGACCTACTAGCACATGTATGGACATATATGTATACAAATGTCAGAATAGTCAGAATAGATGTCGCATGAAATTTGGCAGATCAAATGTCTGAATTTGGGCCGGGTTTCATGTCAGAACATATGTCCAAATAAACGTCAGGGACATGTCAGAATACATGTCAAGAAAAACGCTTGTCAGAATTCCGAGCATATCTCAGAATCTATGTCCGAAGCAATGTTGGATTTTTTACATGTCATCATTCTCGCATGAATATTGTTTTTACGGTGGAGATCACACAAAGTAAAGTAATTTGAAATTTCCTCAGGTTGTTTTCTGTCTTATGTTGATTTGGCGGTCAGACAAGATCTCATAACGCGTAGTTCCTGTCAGCGCTCCCTCTCAATATTGCGCGCTTTGAGTCCGAGGATTTCGTCTGATGCACGGCTGCTGAAGTGCAATGAGGAACCAGCATGGCTTGGTAGCGATTCATGATTCATCGGACGGAGTGTACGCAGTGAAGGGTTGGAAAGGAAAGACAACCCCATGGATGCTTGGGCGAGACCTCGGACGAAATCCTTGTGGCGACTCTGCTACGTGCAGCTTTGGCCGGATTTGGCGATCCATCGGAGGCACCATTGCTTGCACCTCGAAATTAAAAAAGTGTTCAAGCAGCTATGTTTCCTAGTGGTGCATCCTTCCTTTAGCGCGATTTGCCCTAGGACCCTTGAAACACAAATCGGTATTGAAAGCATTTGCCGGCTATGGAGCGTTAGAGGGTTGATTGGACAGGGTACTGGTCGAGCAAAAATTTTTGACGTGACTGGTTGGTTTCTTCTCCGTCACGATGTTGTTTTTGTGGCTATCAGCCCCCGGCGGCTTAAAGGAGACTGAGTTTCGCTGACTTTGTGTAAAATGACAAGAGCAGGCCTGAGGCCACATTGATCTCGTATGTTTCTGAGCTGTCTCCGACCGTTTATTCAGATCTCATGGGCCGTCCCTTGTCTGACTCCAGGGATGAAGGGCCTTTTGCAACCAATGATCTAAGAAAGAACAGAGAAAACGACAATAAGCAATGATTCATGGGTTTTCCTTCGTGTTTGAGTGGCACGACATTGGTAGCAACAGACTTTGTTGATGACCTCTTTCAATTGCAGTGACTCAACAGCTGTACCGGTGTGTTTCGAGTCCCAAAGTTTGCCGTTCTGGTATCCCATGCCAGCATATGCAATATGCCAACATATGCAAACAGCAACGCAGCAACACGCAGAAGGCGACCCAAGTGTCGAATCGATTGCCTTGAAAACAGTTGATCTGGTATGGTTGAAATTGCCAGGCAAGACTGAGAATATCAAGAACAATGTTTTTGGACATCGTAAAGTAGTGCCTGTCGCTGTTCCCATCTCCAAGGCTCAGCTCAGTCAAAAAGTTCAACCAAATTCTAGTACAGCTGGCTGGACGCCAGCCGTGTAGCATCGCGCTGCCGCCGTCTGCCACCTGCGTTCTGCCAACATGGCAGATGAATTGGTGGAAGCTGCCCAGCATGGAAACGTGGAAAAGCTGAAGGTTTTCTTCAAGAAAGGCTCGGGCTATGGGCCAATCTTCGTCAAGCTCGCAAGATTTCACAAGTTCAAGCGCGGAAACTATCGAAACAGGCTCAGACAGATGTATCCCTTTGTTTTCAATAGTTGGTGTTCTGTGACCAGGCATGGACGCATCCACGACCCGGGTCCGGCTCCCTTGGAGGGCATGCAATGTTGAGCACTGATGTGACTTTTTGCCAGGACTCCCAACAAAGCACCCATTCTGATACCATTCGATTGAAGCTAGTTTTCTTTGCCACTGAAACATAGATGTCAAAAGCAATCAAAATTATATAGTTATAAGATGTTGTAAGTTATATATATATACATTAATTAATATATATATATATGTATTGTATATATATATATATGATATATATATATACACGTATGTATATTAGAGTTATATACATACAGAGTTATACATATATCATGTTGAGGCAGACAGAAGTTTGTCACCTGTGCGATGGATGGTACTCTTACTAAAATTTGCGCAATGATGTTGGAGCTAGTTTAGAGTGAAGTCTTCAAGTTACCAAGTCACCAGCAGCATGTTTGCATCTTGCCATCTAGGTGCAGCATGCATGCGTTGTTGCCGCTCAAGCAAAGCACGCCAGGGGCTCAGGTAGAGAGATCCCTTTGACACGTAAAATTGCATCGCTTTTGGCCCCGCATGGCTTTGTTCTACTGGAAGACTAGAAATTGAATTCCATGCTTGGCAACAAGTCACAAAAAGGGGAGGATACCCAGTTTTGTTGGCCAAGGCTCATGCAAAGCTCATGCTTTCCTGCCTTGGTTTTGTGGCTAATTACGGCTAGCACATGTCATGCTTCACCACAACTGCAATGGCAGGTTCTTTCAAACATGTTGCAAGGCGAAGCAGCTGATGAAAAAGAGACGTTGTTTGGCATCAAACTGGTTTAAACATCTTCAAAAGTTTAGCAGGTCAGAAAATCTGGGCGCCTTCAGCATAGCGTTTGAATACTCTATACTGTACGTAGCTCTTGGTTTTTGTTACGAAAGTCATCCAAAGGCTAGGCTAAAGTTGCCCCATGTGAACGAAGTGAGAAGGGGGTCTGGTGGGTAGCGGCTGACGAGAGGGCACAAAATCTCGTAAATAGGTGTCGATTAGGCCGTCAGTTTTGGTCGTTTATGTTTATGTGTGATGGTGGGGTATCGGTTCCCCTAGATGGATAGATGAATAGATGGATAGCTGGACCAATAGACTGATGGATGGATACATAGATACATAGGGACACATCGATGCATAGATACATAATGACACATATAGCTATACAAATAGATAAGTGGACAGATAGATAGAAAGACAGACAGATAGATAGATAGATAGATACTGTAGATAGATGGATACTGTAGATAGATACTGTAGATAGATAGATAGATAGATAGATAAATAGATAGATAGATAGGTAGATAGATAGATTAGGTTAGATTAGATTAGATTAGATTAGATAGATTAGATTAGATAGATAGATAGAGATAGATAGATAGATAGAGATAGATAGATAGATAGAGATAGATAGATAGATAGAGATAGATAGATAGATAGATAGAGATAGATAGATAGATAGATAGAGACAGATAGATAGAGACAGATAGATAGAGACAGATAGATAGAGACAGATAGATAGAGATAGATAGATAGATAGATAGACAGACAGATAGATAGATACTGTAGTTACTGTAGATACTGTAGTTACTGTAGATACTGCAGATACTGTAGATACTGCAGATATTGCAGATACTGTAGATACTGTAGATGCTGTAGATGCTGTAGATGCTGTAGATGCTGTAGATACTGTAGATACTGTAGATGCTGTAGATACTGTAGATACTGTAGATACAGCAGATACTGCAGATACTGTAGATAGATAGAAAGATACTGTAGATAGATAGATAGATAGATAAATAGATAGATAGATAGATAGGTAGGTAGATAAATAGATAGATTAGATAAATTAGATAGATTAGATAGGTTAGATAGATTAGATAGATTAGATAGATTAGATAGATTAGATAGATTAGGTAGATTAGATAGATTAGTTAGATTAGTTAGATTAGATAGATCAGATAGATTAGATAGATTAGATAGATTAGGTAGGTTAGATAGGTTAGATAGGTTAGATAGGTTAGAGAGATTAGATAGATTAGAGAGATTAGATGGATTTGATAGATTCGATAGTTTAGATAGGTTCGATAGATTAGATAGGTTTATAGATTAGGGAGAATTAGATGGATTAGATAGATTAGATGGATTAGGGAGATTAGATAGGTTAGATAGATTGGATAGATTAGATGGATTAGAGAGATTAGATAGATTAGAGAGATTAGAGAGGTTAGATGGGTTAGATAGATTAGATAGATTAGATAGATTAGATAGATTAGATAGATTAGATAGATTAGATGAATTAGATAGATTAGATAGATTAGATAGATTAGAGAGATTAGATGATAGATAGATAGATAGATAGATAGATAGATAGGTAGATAGGTAGATAGGTAGATAGGTAGATAGGTAGATAGGTAGATAGGTAGATAGGTAGATAGGTAGATAGATCGATCGATCGATCGATAGATCGATAGATCGATAGATCGATAGATGAATAGATGAATAGATGAATAGATGAATAGATGGATAGATGGATAGATGGATAGATGGATAGATGGATAGATGGATAGATGGATAGATGGATAGATGGATAGATAGATAGATAGATTAGAGAGATTAGAGAGGTTAGATGGGTTAGATAGATTGGATAGATTAGATAGATTAGGTAGATTAGATAGATTAGTTAGATTAGATAGATTAGATAGATTGGATAGATTAGTTAGATTAGATAGATTAGATAGATTGGATGGATTAGATTCGATAGATTAGAGAGATTAGATGGATTAGATAGATTAGATAGATTAGATAGATTAGAGAGATTAGATAGATTAGCTAGCTAGGTAGCTAGGTAGGTGGGTACTTTCGGGGTCCGGGGCACAAAGAAAAAATACTTTTTCAAAAAAACTGCTCCCAGGAAATCCAAGTACTGGAGTTTCCGCGGCAGACAAACAGATAGATATAGACAATGAGGCAAAGTGGCAGATAGACAGATGACAAATTGATACACTGGGAAACGAAAAGATAAATGGACAAGATACACGGATAGACAAATAGCTAGCCAGACAAGAAAGAAAGAAAGAAAAAGATAGACAGATAGATGGATAGATGGATAGATGATCCCCTCAAGTACTGAGGGTCTGAAAGTAAAAAAGACCCTAGCCACAGGATGATTTTGTGTATTCCTGTCCTGTGTTGCCCATGTTAACACGGTTTATGTTCCCGAAAAAGATGCCTAAAATGTCTAAAAATTCGTTCCCGAAATGGAAGCCTAAAATATCTAAAAATTGATTCCTGAAATGGAGAATGGGTTCCGGAGTAATCCGAAATACAAATATTTTTAAAAAAAAAAAAACTGTTCCATGAAATCCAAGTGCTGGAGTCTCCGCGGCAGGCAAGCAGACAGATAGACAGATGAACAGATCGACAGGGAGACAAAAAGATAAAGGGACAAGACACGGATAGACAGATATGCTGCAGACGCTGATGATATTATGATGTCATCCCCGTATGGCCCAGCTCCGAGGAGGAGGCGGTGAAGGTTTTTCTGGAAGGTGGTGTGCCACTGACCTGCCACCTGCTGAGTTTCCCGAGGGTTGAGGGTTGAGAATGCTGACGACAGTTGAGACGAATGCTGAGATGTTTCTCGTGCGGTCTTGTAAAATTTTTGTATATACATTCGTACAGATTTACGGGCCTCACACTTTATATGTTGATCGAAGTTTCTCAACGCGGTGAAATGGTTTTGAACCCACGGTTTCAATTCTCACTTTGGGTTTCTCAAATGCCATGAGAATATATTTAGGTGTTCCAAACAGCCTGTTCCAAACAGCCTGGTATGTAAACAAGGGGCAAGCGGAACGTAGGCGAATGTTGTAAGTCTTGAAGAGTTGTGGTTTCCCCATGCTTCACACCATATTCACCCCTTTAGTGCCGAGGTTCTGATCGAGAAGGAAGGCGGCTCATCCACACTTGCGCCAGTCGCTGGGCCCAATAAAGTTTGGTTCAAGGGGAAAAGGTTCCTGGAGTATTTCACAAAAAAGAACGGAGATAGTGTTGGATGTAGTTGGGTAGTAAGTGATAGTAATTGCAATAGGATCAATAAGTACTCTCTTCTGTTAAGCGCCACTGTTGCAATCCTCCCCAAGCGTCAATGATTTTGTATTGACTCGTGCGACTTCCGATCTAGCCTTTTGACAGCCGAACCTCATGATAATTGCACTGCTAGAACGAATTCTCGCATCAAGTCCGAGTGTCGCAGTTCCAGTAAAAACAAGTGTAAGACCATGAATAGGTCTTCATTCTGTGGAATTGCGACAATTCAGACGGAGCAGCGGGAAGCCAGTGGAAATAGTGGAACTAAAATGTTCCTTGCGGTATGCCAAAGAGATTCTTGGTTTCTGTCTTCCCGTTGGCGTATCAAGCAATCCAGACCGTGAGCCTCCTTTGAAGCCTTGTAGAAACCAAACAACAGACATCCACCGTAGTGTCAAAACTGTTGGTGATATGGAGGATTGTCAAGTTTTGTCAAACACCGGTCCTGGCGTGTCTAGCAGCTTCTGGGAGAGAGAGGGTTGGCTTGGTGCTGCGCAGCACAACTTAGGAAATGACCTTCCCAAAACGATCAAGCTCATGGTGTCCATGAAAGCGGATGTCACGAAGCCAGACAGTTCCTTGGCGTTTCCGTTTTATTGTCAAAATTCGTTAAATGAAGGTGGGGCACCAAGGATGGTACTTTGAAAATGCACGCATGGCCTGTATTGCCTGCATTGCCATCTTTTGGTCGCAGTCTGTGAGACACTAGGCACGGATAGGCACAGTTTTCCCAGCACTTTGGAGGCGATGGTGCGCTTCCGATATCTTTGGCCATCAAGAACAAGTTCCACGCCGCCGTCAAGGACAGTCTCTGGTCACTCTGGTCCACTTGACAGAGTAAGACTCAAAGCGTGAAATTGAGTCTTTGCGTTTAGAGTTTAGATCAAAGATGCTCGAATTGACACTGTTTGACGGATATTGACAGATATTATCATTACCTATTTCATCTTATTGAGCCAAAGTGCCGGTCTCTTTCCCTCATGTGAATGGAAGCTTGGATCAAGCTTGATCAACTCGCCGCCTTTGGTAAGTTCCGCTAGCCGCGGGACTCTGGGATTCTCGGGAACTCTTGCACTTGCAAAGCGCATGCGGTTTAAGTTGGTTTAAGTATGCTTTGCGTGTCTAGGTAGCTTTGTGCAGCTGTTGAGCTCCGGGCTGCAAATTGCGAAAGGATGTTGGTGTGTAAAGGGTCTGTTTGGCAAGCTCCAGATGAGCAACCCGCTGCGTGCAAACGGTACTTGGTGAATGAAAGCTGTTGGTGGAAGAGCGGCTTGCCTAAAACGGCCTCCTGCATTTTCTTGCTTCTTGTGTAGGTGTAAGAAGTGCTTACAAGGTTGCAGCCATCAAGTACTGAGAAGTGGGGAGGGCGCCAGAACCCTGAGACCGTTTGAGGCTTGCAACGGTACTTTGTTGTTTCGTCCTTTGACAATCTTTGACAAAACGGATGGTTCATATGTTTGATTTTGCATGGATTTTCACCGATTTGACCGATGTACTCGTAGCTCCAGGAACTCTTGATGGGTGGAGCAACGGTTCCTGCCAATGCTGAAATGCCCGGCTTGGCCGCCATCGTCATGGAGGTGGCTGTGCACATAGGGAAGGAGCGATGCACTAATTTCGGAGATGCATTGCTGCACTCTGCACGGGTTTGTTCAGTAGGTCAGTCATCTGTGCTTGAACCATTTCGAACCGCTCATTTCATTGCTTCTCTAAGGGTTTAGGCAACGAACTTACCTGATGCCTGTACGCTACCACGCCTACCAGGTGCAACTGGAGCAGTGCGGGAACGAGATCCGTCCGCTGGCGGGTTGCGAGGTGTGAGAGCAGCGGTGATGGCATAGTTTCTGGATACTTCGGGGGGCTTGAAAGCAGGGATGGTGTTCATAGCAGGTAGTGTTGATGCTTTCAACTTTAGATTCATTCGATTGGATGGCGATGTGCTTTCGGTTTCGCATGAGAAGTAGTTCGAAAAGCCCGAGCCAGGTGGATCCTCAGGATATTTTGGAAGCAGAGCGGTCCGTGCTGGAGGGTATGCAGGACACCAAGTGACACCAAGTGATGTTGGTGTAAATAAGGTCTCAAGCTGTGCAAGGATGGGGCTGAAAGCAGAATTCACAGATGAAAGAAAAACCTGGGTGTGTATGAAAGCGAGGGTTACCACTGAAATTACAGTTTTAGTGAAAATATATTGTGTGAAATATGATGATGAAAGATTCGCGGTTATCCTAGTTTCAATTACCCGCAGTACCGCGCAAGGCGGTGGCGAAAGTTTCAAAAATAGGAAACCTATAGGAGAGCTTGGTTGTTGTGAATCACGGATGGCAGAGCGAATCCGCTGATGGACCGAAAGGTGGTTGGAGTTGTGTTTTTTGGAGTGGTTGCAGTGGTTGCAGTGGTCACCTGGTCGGTCACCTCACCCACAACTGCTGGATGTAGTGTGGTGTAGTGTAGCTGTGGTTGTAATGTACTGTAGTGGAGTTGTAGCTGCGGTGTAGTGTAATTAGTGTAGTTGCAGTTTCATTTGTAGTAGTGTAATGAGCGTAGTGTAACGTGATGTAGGGTCGTGTAGTGTAGTCTAGTGTCGTGTAGTGCAAAATAGCCTAGTTGTAGCTGTAGCTGTAGTTGTAGTTAATGTAGCATAGTGTGGTGTGGTGTGGTGTTGTGTAGTGCGGTGTAGTGTTTTGTACTGTAGTGTAGTTGTGGTTGTAGTTGTAGCGTAGTGCAGTTGTAGTTGCAGTTGCCGTTGCAGTTGTAGTTGTAGTTAGCGTAGCGTAATGTAAATGAATGTAATGTAGTGAAGTGTAGTGGAGTGTAATTAAGTAGTGTAGTGTAATATAGCATAGAATATTTGTATTTGTAGCTGTAGCAGTAGTGTAGTGTAGTTGTTGTTGTAGTTCCAGTTGTAGTTGTAGTTGTTTTTTCCCATCTATCTATCTATCGATCTATCTGTCTATCTCTCTCTCTCTATCTCTCTCTATCTCTCTCTCTATCGATCTATCTATCTATCTATCGATCGATCGATCGATCGATCTATCTCTCTCTCTATCTATCTATCTATCTATCTTTCTTTCTTTCTTTCTTTCTTTCTTTCTATCTATCCATCCATCCATCCATCCATCCATCCATCTATCTGTCGAGAATTCGTCAACTCTTGAATTTGATAACATCAAAAACGAATCAATTCTGCAAGGCTTCCTCTATTTTTAAAGTTAGCAACATCAAAAACAAAACCATTCTGCAAGACTTCCTTCAATAATGGAAAGCTGGGTGCAGAGCTGACGGCCTGGTACCAATGCGTTTTGCGTTTTTTCCAGCCCATGTCTCTAAAGTATTGCGCCTGCCACGAAAAAGTGAAGCCGGTTCATACGAAGTGCTGCACCTGTCACGCAAAATCATCTTAGCAAACCTGAAGATCTCATGCTCCAAAATGCAGCCCGGCCCCTGTCAGGAAATCTCCGCCCTGATCTCCTAACTTATCTAACTCATGTGTCTCTTGTACTGCGCCTGCCACGCGAGATGCATCTTGCCAGATCTTCTTCAAATGTCCCACGCCTGCCATCGTTTTTGAAACTGCTACAAAACCACCGCGTTTTGCTCACTTTTGACAAGGTGCGCCTGCCACGCAAAACGACATCTGAACGTCCAAAAGTTCTCCGTACCCCACAGTTTTTTACACTTTTGACTTCGAAATGTGCTGCGCGCTACAACGGTGCGCATTTTTTCGACATCGCAACTTCTAAAAGTGCCCCCAAGCTGAGGTGTTTCACGCATTTTCACTTGGAGATGCGCTTCGCGCCACAACGGCGTGCACTTTTTCGACATCTCAACTTCCAAAAGTGCTCCGAACGTGAGGTGCATTTAGCTTTTTCACTTGCAAATGCGCTTCGCGCCACAACGGCGTGCACTTTTTCATGGAGGGCTATTTATTTTTGGATTTTTTTCGCGGCAGGTTTTGGATTTTTTTGGGGGTTCCTGGTTCTCTGCTTTTCTGCTTCTCTGCTTTTCTGCTTCTCTGCTTTTCTGCTTCTCTGCTTTTTGCTTTCCCTGCTTCTCTGCTTTTCCTGCGTTCCTGCTTTTCTGCTTCTTGCTTTTCCTGCTTCTTTGCTTTTCTGCTTCTCTGTTTTCCCTGCCTCTCTGCTTTTGTACTTCTGTGCCTTTCTACTTCTACTATTCTACTTTTTCTTTTCTTCAGTCATGTGTTTTTGCTGCTCTACTTCCTGCTCCTTTGCTTCTTTGCTTCCTGTCTTTACTGCCTCTTTGTTTTTCATTTTCTTTTGCTTTATTCTGTTCTGTTTGTATCCTGAATGAAACCCTAGAGAGACTCTAGGTGAAACCCACAGACACCCTACATTAAAACCTAAATTACTTTCCTTCGTGTGATCCCCACCATGACATTTATACATTTTGTTACTGGCAAATCTTCTGGCATTCTATTTGACATACCTTCTGGCATTCTATCTGGCATATCTTCTCACATTCTATCTGACATTCTATCTGACATTCTATCTGGCATATCTTCTGGCATTCTATCTGGCTTTTGAGGTCCAGCGGTGCGCACTGAACTCGGAAGGCCCCAGGTTGAGGTCCAGCGGTGCGCACTGAGCTCGGCAGGTCCCAGGTTGAGGTCCAGCGGTGCACACTGAGCTAGGAAGGTCCCGAGTCCCAGGTTGAGGTCCAGCGGTGCGCACTGAGCTGGGAAGGTCCCAGGTTGAGGTCCAGCAGTGCGCACTGAGCTCCGAAGTTGGCGAAGAGCTTGGCCAAGAGTTGGCAAGGCAACAGTAGACGTGGAAGTGGAGGCAGAGGTGGTAGAAGAGGAGGAGGACGCGGAGGAGGAGAAGGAGGAGGAAGGAGGAGGAGGAAGAGGAGAAGAACAACTCTGATAAAATCTAACAACCCTCACCTGGCAGGTGGGGAATGAACCCTAAAGAAACCATAAATGAAACCCTAAAGAAACTTTAAATGACACCCTACATGACATCCCAAAGAAACCCTGAACAACACTCTGAAAATATTAAAAGAACCTTAACTGACACCTTGCTGAAACCCTAAAGAAAACCTACATGAAACCCTAAATTGAAACCGAAACGAAACCCTGAATCAAACCCTAAAGAAACCCTGAAGAAACCCTAAATGGCACCTTAAATGAAACCCTAAAGGAACCCTAAAGGAACCCACTTGAACGTTTAGAAACCGTGAAAAAAATCTTGATAAGAAACCCTGGAATGAAACCCTAAATTGAAACCCTAAATTGAAACGAATTGAAACCCTAAAGAAACCTTTAATGAAACCCTAAAGAAACCCTAAATGAAACCCTAAAGAAACCTTTGCTGAGAGCCTAAATGAAACCCAAACTGAAACCCTAAATGAAACCCTACTTGAAACCCTAAGCGAAAACCTTAAACGAAACCCTAAAGAAACCCTAAATGACACCCTAAATGAAACCCCAAAGGAACCCTAAAGGAACCCACTTGAACGTTTAGAAACCGTGAAAAGAAATGCTGATAAGAAACACTGGAATAAAACCCTAAAGAAAGCTTAAACGAACTCCTGAATGAAATCCTAAATTGAAACCCTAAATTGAAACCTTAAATGAAACCCTAAAGAAACTCTAAATGAATCCCTAAAGAAACCTTAAATGAGACCCTAAATGAAACCCAAACTGAAACCCTAAAGAAACACTAAATGAAACCCTAAGGAAAACTCTAAACGAAACCCTAAATGACACCCTAAATGAATTCTAAATGAAACCCTAAAGAAACCTTAAATGAGACCCTAAATGAAACCCAAACTGAAACCCTAAAGAAACCCTAAATGAAACCTTAAGCAAAACCCTAAACGAAACCCTAAAGGAACCCTAAATGACACCCGAAATGAAACCGTAAATGAAGCCCTAAAGGAACCCTAAAGGAACCCACTTGAACGTTTAGAAACCGTGAAAAAAAATCCTGATAAGAAACCCTGGAATGAAACCCTAAATTGAAACCTTAAATGAAACCCTAAAGAAACTCTAAATGAATCCCTAAATGACACCCTAAATGAAACCCTAGAGAAGCCCTAAAGAAACTTTACATGAAACCCTAAAGAAAACTTAAATATAAATGAGACCCTGAATGAAACCCAAACTGAAACCCCAAATAAACCCTACATGAAACCCTAAAGAAGCCCTAAAGAAACCCATTTGAACGTTTAGAACTCCTGATATGAAACCCTGATAAGAGACCCTACATGAAACCGGAAAAAACCCTAAGTGAAACTCTAAAGAAACCTGAACCCCAAAGAAACCCTAAAGAAACCCTAAATGAAACCCTCAATGAAACCCCAAATGAAACCCCAAGTGAAGCCCTAAATAAAACCCTTAATGAAACCTTACATGAAACCTTAAATGACACCCTAAATGAAAGCTTAAAGAACCCTCAAGAGACCCACGTGAACGTTTGAAGCACCAAAATGCAGCAAATACCATGCAAATGAGAGGTTGAAATGCCAAAATATGACAAATACCATGCAAAATGGAAGGCGTACATGGCCAAATGTATCAAATACCATGCAAAATGCAAAGTGACCATCCCAAAATGCAGCAAATACCATGCAAAACGACAGGTTCTAGTTCCAAACTGTTGCAAATACAAGGCAAATGGTACCGGGAAAGAAAGCCAAAAAAAAATCCAAAACCTGAGGCAAAAACAAAAAAACAAAAACTTTTCGACCCTCCGGACACAAATCATTGGAAAAACACAGTGTTTCGCGGCTTTCCTACCTTTTCGCGCACCTGGATCTTCTTTCTTCTCACTTTTTCTCTTTTTGATATTCTTTTTTCTTCTCTTGTCTTCTCTGGCTCTTCCCATCTCCGCTTTTCATGTGTCCATACTGTCGGAGGTTTGACTTCTAAACTTGCTTCGACTCTACAAATATAGTAGTTTGATTTGTGTGTTCCTTTCATTGTGCGCTTTCAGTGGCGGTTGCCAGGAGCATAAACGTCTTTTGAAGCTCCAGGAGGAACAAAGAGTACAGAGATGTGCACCAGCAATCAGCGCTTGACCTCATGGAACAGTATAGAACAGTGAAGGTGTTGGTAGAACCTTTCATGAATGAAAGTCTACCACTGTAATTACCATGATCTCTACTGTCAAGGAAGGCTTGAAGGTTGCTAATGTTGCTGATGCCCAACATTCGGCAGAATTACCAATGAAGAAGTGGAACGTGTCGCCATTGGACTTCAGGACAGTCGGGCTGCGAAGAGCCTGATTGAGTTGGAGAGTCACATCAAAGAAGAGGAAGAGACGTTGGAAGAGATACAGAAGAATTCAGCCGCCCATCTGATTTCGATTGATTTCGCACTGGGGAAGTGCAGGGTTGTCCCATTGCAGACGAAGAAAGTTTGACGATAGAAGAAAGTTGGTGATGGTGGTGAAATTGTGCCCCATGCCCGAATTGGTCAAAATATGCGATTGGCACGCATGAAAGGGTCAGATTTGGTTGGGTAATGAATTAATTTTCCATAGGCAGAGTTGAATGTTGCCTGAAATATCAAAGATCACAGATGATTACAGCAAGTGGAATGGAAGAGATGGGATACCAAGCATTTGTGGTTTCTGAGGCCGGGCTCATTGATGAGTTGCTCCTTGGATCGCATGAACTAATGTTTCAGTTGATGGATGTTAACCAATGATCTTCCACCCGCCATGCATGGATGATCATGGATGCTGTCGGTCGGCTTAACTTCCCGGTTGAAGCAGAGGTTCGGTACGCTGTCACTTGAAACCATGCAAAGGTGCCTCCAACAGGCTTAGGACGCTGCAAACTGCTTACGATTTGCCCCTTGCATCCCCTTGCCTAGCTCCGTGTTTTAGCCAAGGAGTCAACGAAAGATTGATGTTCGAAATGCGTGCTGCTGGCAAGTCGTCGCCTTGCTCGTCAAATTCGCACCATGTCCCTGACACCTTGCTTTGCCCACTTTGTCCCCACTTCTTTGGGTTGCCGGCTTCAGAATCTTCAGAACTTTACAACATCTGCAGTTGAAAGCGTAGTCTTGGAGCCCAAAATCAGAACATGACACCTAGGGGTTTTGAGCATCTTCGAGCAATTTGTAAGGGGCCAAGGTTAAAGGTCGATTTTTTTTTCAAACAGAGCATGCATTTTGGCCACCAGTGCTTGCCAGGGAGACGGAATTGAGTAAGCTGCGGAAAGAGCTGTCGTCTGCCAGGGCACCTAAATGCGGTGGACCATGGTGGACCATGGTGGACTCTGGGACTCTGGATCTGGATATGACAGGCAAACAGGCATTGACATCATTGACAGGCAAGTTGTTTGATGGCAGGCTCGAGAGACCTCAATCGTTTCAAATCGTCGCCTCTGCGGAGCGCTCAGGTTCTTGAGACCTTCAATGAGACCAAGGAGGATGATGAGAAGGTTACCAAATTGATCCAAATTCTGTGAATTTTGAAGATGAAGATCAATTTAACATAACTTAATATTGGATAATTGGATAGCAAACTGTTGAATCATGTGAATATTCGAAGGTTTTGAAGATGTTGGGGGTCTTCCAGGATATGTTTGGAGCGTTAATCCTTCCAAATCATCTTGGTACACGTTTTGCTGAAAGATGTCCAAAGGGTCATGAAGCTGTAGAAGGTTATACTAGTAGCTAGCCATACGTGGATTTGCACATATTTGCACGACAGTTGAAAGTGGAGCTTGAAGAAAACAGCCGCCAACTGAAAGAGGCAGGGGGCGGATCCATGATCGACCTGAGAGATGCCGATGTCGCCGATGCCCAATTTCCTTTCGCTTGATCCCCTTCTCTCAGACTCTCAGTATACTGAGACTGCAAATCTAGAGTCTTTAAGTCTTTAAGTGCATAAACGACTTTACATTGACAAATTGGTATTGGTTCAGGACTTTATTTCCACTCTGGACTACAGCCTGATAGATCTGATTTCTGATGAATTTTTGCTGATCTCTGTTGCTCAAAAGTTGTCGCGTTTTGACCACCGCAGTGTTGAACTGTCACGCAGTTTTTTGCTCTCCTCATAAGCCCCATGTTCTCGCCCACTAGTGGGTTCAAGTCAACAGTACAAAGGTCTACAAAGCTCAATGCCACTGAAGCCTGCAAAGCATACTTTCATGTGATTCACAGAATGTCAAAACCACCTGAACTCCAACCACTGGAAGCACTGGAAGCATTGATGACAGCACAAGTGCTGCGTTTCTGGGCTTAGTGCTGCTGTTCGCATGGCGGATATCACTCTCCTAGCTGAAGCCGCGAGCTGTTTGAGTGATGCAGTGCAAGCTCCTGCGGTAGATTTAGAGGAGCACAATGAAATCACACGAAATCACATGAAATCTAGTTTGTTTATCTTTGTTTGCAAGCTGTGGATCAAGCTCTGGGTCAAGCTCTGGAGGGGATCAGTGGATGCATACACTGCGCATACTGGATGCATGGCAATCAGATGAATTCCTGTCCTATGTTGTCCTGGATATGTTCTCAAGTTGTCAAAATGCAGGATTCTTTGGACAAACTCAAGAAAGCTTTGGTCTTGATCAATCGGGCCGATGAAGTCTCTGGGCCAACGCAGCCCAGAAGATTCTCGGCCATAAGGTTCCATGCTGTCGGGGTCTAGAGTTGTCTGGAAACAGAACGAAAGCAACAAACACACAGGGCTTGTTGCAACGCATGATGTTTTTGAGAAACACTTGTTTGAATACAAAGACCAGACATGACAGACATGTTAAAATATGTTAGAAACATTCCCTTCACTTATGATGATTTTTAAGCATTTGTGAGTCGTCAGCAGCTCTTTGCGCTGGCTGCATGCGCAAACGAGGCTTGGAATCCATGCTGCTTCGTGGTTTCCAGTCTTTAGCATCTTATGTTCTCCAAGATGGAGAAGAAGCCAATGACCTCAAGAGGGCAGAAGCACACTTCAATGCTGCATTGAAGCTTGGACGCGTGTGCATTTGGTTTTGGCCCAACCTTTGCACACTAAGTATTACAATGTATTACATAGTATTACACATTTGCTCATCTTTGGAATTCCCAAATGTCGTTTCAATGCTCTCTTGAAACCTCCCGGCACCCAGGAAGGATAGCTCATCTTCCCCCCGTGCACGGTTTGGCAAAGCAGTCCTCAGCGCACACCGGGGCAACTGGCAAACAGCCTTAAAATCCTTTCGTGAGGCTGGATATGCTGGATATGCTGGATTCAGTTCATTGATTCAACATGATTCCACTGAATCCTCTGAGGACGCAGCTGGAGACGGATAGATTTTCACATGCCTCCACCATGCAGTAATTAGGTGACGTAAATTCACCGTGTGATAAATGAATCAAATCTAGAAAGAAACCAAGTTTCTTTAGCCGCTCAAAGCAGGAACTGTTTTTCTCCGTTTTTTTCCAAGGGATCTTGAAAATGTCGCGTCGAGGTGTTGATGCGCGCCGCCCCACATAAGCCCACTGACGGAGTGCGCATGGCCATTCATATTTAAGGGCTGCCGCCCCTGCCGCCGACCCCGGAAGAATGCAAACCAAATTGGCCTAAAAACTCTTCGGTGCTTCGCACCTTGAGGCTTTCGACCTTTTTCCTATGTTTATTGTTGTGAAATATATTTGATAGGTTTGAATTTTCATTTGTAAATGGGTTTTTCATTTGGGTGCATGTTAATATTATGATCCTATGGTTTTATGGGTTCATGGATCTAAGTAACTGTATAATAGTTAGATATACATATATATATATTATATACACGATATTTTTGGCCCTATTATTATACAGCTAGTGTTGCGCCGCACAGGTGCATGGTTGCGCCGCACAGGTGCATGATATTTTATCAAAGTATAGGGGGCCCTGTTTTTTTTTTAATCCCCCACCTTGTTTTTTTGACCCCCCCCCGTGTTTTTTTGACCCCTCATGAATGAAATCCTAAATGAAACTCTAAAGAAACTTTCAAGAAACCCACATGAATGTTTGAAAACCTTGACAAAATTTTCTGATAAGAAATCCTACACAAAACCCTAAATTAAACCCTAAATGAAACCTGAAAGAATCCCTAAATCAAACCCTACATGAAACCCGACAGAAACCCAAAAGAAACCCGACATAAAACCCTTAAGAGATGTAAATCTCCAGAGAATCCCTACATGAAACCCTAATTCTTTTGTTTTATTCTCTCTTGTTTGTATCCGAAATGAAATTTTAAAGACCCTAGGTGAAACCCAAAGAAACCCTAAAGAATTGCTGCTAAGAAACCCGTACATAAAGAAATCATAAATTGGTTAAAGAAACCATAAATGAAAGCCGAACGAAACTTTGAATGAAACCGTAAATGGCATCCTAAAGAGAGCCTAGGATCGGCAATGAATCAAACCAAATTGGCAGAAATATGCTTCGTTGCTTCGCACCTTTAGGCGTTCGACCCTTTTCTTATGAATATGATTCAGGTATCCTGAATTCAGGTATCCTATGCAATGAGCATTGTTGGTGTCCAAAAAAGATATGGGAAAATACGATGGCTCGACATGCTTGGACATCGTATTTTCTCAGATCATTTTTGGTTTCTACTTATTATTGCAGAATTCCTTTCTTATCAGTCGTTTAGGTGTCCAAGTGTCCAAGTTTGTCCAAAGTCTTGTCCAGATACTGCTTCCGCTTTGTTGCATGAGGCCCGGAAAATACGGGTGAAACAAGTAGTTTGGCCCTATGATTATACAGATAGTGTTTGCGCCGCACAGGTGCATGGTTGCGCCGCACAGGTGCAATGTAATGCAATGAAATGTCATGCAATGCAATGCAATGCAGTGAAATGTAATGCAATGCAATGTAATGTAATGCAATGTAATGCCATGCAATGCAATGCAATGTAATGGAATGCAATGCAATGCAATGTAATGCAATGCAATGCGATGCAATGTAAGGCAATCTAATGCAATGCGATGCAATGCAATGCAATGCAGTGAAATGTAATGCAATGCAATGCAATGCAATGTAATGCAATGCAATGTACTGCAATGCAATGTAATGTAGTGCAATGTAATGCAATGCAATGTAATGGAATGCAATGCAATGCAATGTAATGCAACGCAATGCGATGCAATGTAAGGCAATCTAATGCAATGCAATGCGATGCAATGCAATGCAATGCAGTGAAATGTAATGCAATGCAATGTAATGCAATGCAATGTAATGCAATGCGATGCAATGCAATGCGATGCAATGTAAGGCAATCTAATGCAATGCGATGCAATGCAATGCAATGCAGTGAAATGTAATGCAATGCAATGCAATGTAATGCAATGCAATGTACTGCAATGCAATGCAATGTAATGTAGTGCAATGTAATGCAATGCAATGTAATGGAATGCAATGCAATGCAATGCGATGCAATGCGATGCAATGTAAGGCAATCAAATGCAATGCGATGCAATGTAATGCAATGCAATGAAATGCAATGTAATGCAATGCAATGCGATGCAATGCAATGTACTGTAATGCAATGCAATGCAATGCAATGTAATGTAATGTAATGCAATGTAATGCAATGCAATGCAATGCAATGTAATGCAATGTAATGCAATGAAATGCAATGCAATGTAATGCAATGCGATGCAATGTAAGGCAATCTAATGCAATGCGATGCGATGCAATGCAATGCAATGTACTGCAATGCAATGTAATGCAATGCAAAGTAATGTAATGCAATGTAATGCAATGAAATGCAATGCAATGCAATGCAATGTACTGCAATGCAATGCAATGTAATGTAATGCAATGTAATGCAATGCAATGCAATGCAATGTAATGCAATGAAATGCAATGCAATGTAATGCGATGCAATGCAATGCAATGTACTGCAATGCAATGTAATGCGATGCAATGCAATGCAAAGTACTGCAATGCAATGCAATGCAATGCAAAGTAATGTAATGCAATGTAATGCAATGAAATGCAATGCAATGCAATGCGATGCAATGTAAGGCAATGTAGTGCAATGCAATGCAATGCGATGCAATGTAATGCAATGTAATGCCATCCGGCGGCTCAGTGCTGGACAAGTTCCACAAGGACCGGACAGGGATGAGTAGTCTCCTTTTCATGTGCAGCCACAGCGTATCCCGATCACCGTGTGACAGTTTACAAAATTTGAGTTTTCGAGAGTTGCAACGTTCCGCTTCGAGATCATGTTTATTTCACAGGAATTATAACACTTGAAACAACGCTGCAACTTCTGCCAATAGATGTAGACGCGGGATCGCGCACTTTTTCTGGGCATGCAACATGGGTACACGCTTAAGACACACATTTTCCACATCAACTATTCACTTAGCTTGGACTTCGTGTATTTGCAATTTGACGTGGACAAATTATGCTACTCAATGATGCTCTATATTATAGCCACTAAAACATGAAAACGGGCACAGACAAGAGGGAACATTCTTGTAAAGCTTCGTCCGTGAGAGTCTCATGACTGCGGAAAGCGAGAATGGTCTCGAAACCTCTTCACTATGTCTCTTTGGCAGCTTCTTGTCTGAGAATTTAGGGGAAACACCTTTCAATCCGCTCGTTTATCGTCATTTTCACGATTGACATGGCTATTGGGGGATACCCCAGAGGCCCAGATCCTTAAATCAGTGGCCCTCCTTTCGCACGGGCAGAAACTGAGATGTTTCAGACCTTTCCAGTCATTCTTGGGTGAGATCTGAAATGTTTGGTGATTATATACAAACCAAACATTTTTCTCACCATCTTATAAACAATAATAAGAACATATATCCACTGGGATTGATGGAGCCACAGCCGGGATCAGGTTCTAAGGGCGACAACAGCCGAATCCTTGGAGTTGTTGTTCTCTCGCCCTGGAGTGTCTGCCACCTACAGCTCCTTGGAATGGCAGCGATGGTACCAGGAATGGGTTACGATTGAGGTGCGAATGGACACCAACTTGGTATCTTTTGATCATTTTGGATGGTGCCTACCATCAACTATTTTAGGGATAATTTTGACGATACTCAGATACTCAGTTACTCAGTGTCCTTTCTCGCGAATCAGACCAGCTTGGCCCCCATTTCATCCGGCAATAATGATTGTTTGTTTGGATTTCTGGGCCAATAAATATCAAACATAGGAAGGAATCATCGCTTGTATATAAATTTGTCAGATCATAAATATATTGGGGATCAGTATGAATATATTATACATGATTATACAATGTTTGTAACATTTGATTTTTATAGATTCACATTCTGGGGATCACTGTCTCTATAAATGTTGCCAACTTCCCTTCACCAATCAGATCCTGATTTTAGGACGTAGCCACCGTAGCCACTGTCATGGAACTTAAGGTCGGTGGATATGTCCTGAACGACGCTGGGGTGATGCTTTCCGGATACGACGGCAAACGAGAAGCCTATGACTTAGCTCCTCTGGTGGGTGTCCGTTTCGAGGAGAGGGCTAGGGCTATTGGCGATATAATCAACTATAAATGGCCATTTTCAATAGCTATGTTGAATTGCCAGAGGGTATATATATATATCCATTATATATATATGTATCCATTATAGTTGATTTACCTATCAAAAATGGTGATTTTCCATGGTTATGTTAATTTACCAGAGGGTATCTGATCCATTCTTTTCCCTTGCCCCAGGACACTGCAGGTGGCTTCCTGGAGTTTGAGTTGCTGGGGCGACTTCTGGAACAGGCAAGTTTTTACCGGGGATGGGCCTCTGGTAACATGGCTTGGACATGGAGGAAAACTTGCTCATTTGTAGATAATTCATGACAATTCACCTATTGAAAGTGAGTATTAACTGATTTACCTGGGAGTATTGGCCCTTGGAGGACAAACAGGTTTAGTATGGTGTGCGTCCTGTGACGAGTGCCTGTAGACGAGTGTAATGCTGTGGACAGTGTCATTAGCCACCGGCACTACCAGTTTAGTACTTGGGGAAGAAGGGAAGAAGGAGTAGAGGAGTAGAGGAGCATAGGAGTAGAGGAGTGGAGGGGTGGCCTTGGGATTAGTGAGTAGCCATTAGTCACTATTAACCATTCCCAGGGTCTATGTCAGTTTGGGAGATTATAGTATCATATAGGAATAATTTCATTAGTATTAAGCATGTTATTGATTACCAGTAACCATTTGTGGTTAACCATATTAACTCTAATAACTACTATCGTCTTTAACAATCATAGATCACTATAGATGGATGATATAAACCGTCCCTAGATGGACCATCTCCACCAGGTTTGGCTTGGACCTGTCACTGGTGGCACGTCTGGGTGACCGTTTGCAGCCGTGCACGCACCGTGGAAAGGAATGATTTCCAGGGATGATCATCACCTATGTGCTGGGACCTGGGTTAAGGTGAATTATGATTCTAACTTATTCACTGGTCGAACGTTGTTTCTGTTCCTATCTGGGTCACTTGGGCTCGTTATGTAATGTTATTTGACCTTTTCTATCGGAATTTACATCGGTGACAGCATCACAAATGTGGGAACCAAACGGGCACCCGTTTGTGCATTCGTCCATTGGGTCCCAAGACTCGACCAATTCCCATGTTTTTTTTCCATGGGATCCACGTTGTCAAAACATCGAGATTTTGAAGCTTTATAGCTCCAAAATCCACAACAAACTCCGCAACAAGAAGTTGACGGTTAGATAAGCTCTTCAAAACGCGCCCAAGAAAGATAGAGTGAGTTGCCACACATGTTTTTTTAGTGGCATTGCCGTCACCGTCCCTGAGGCACTGATTCAAATGCTGGAGAAGGTGGCTGAAAAGACCAACCGCCCCAGGATTATCACCAAGGTGCGTGTCGTTGGAATCGGTGAGTTGTATAGGTATGATAAGGCTAGGCAATATCAGGGCTTAACTAGCCGAAATGGCGTTTAACGAATTAAGATTACAATGTTTAACATTTGATCATAGTTGACCTACGAAACAATGATAAACATGTGGAAGTAGCATCATTTGACCACTGACTATGTGGATTTGACCAGCCATAAAGTATGGATTTGATGGGATCTAAACAGTGAATAATCCACATTGGATAGATTATAACAACCTGATCGTGATGTCTTTATAAATGTAGGTTAGGATAGAATCATCCGAAGATGACCGAGCGTTTCATGCTGGTGAACTGGTGAATGCTGATAATATCGCCAGATATTGCAACATGGCTTTGTTGAGCAACGGTGTGTGTCATAGCTAAATGAATCACTCGAATTTTATGGACGTATATTAATATTGAGGTATAGATGTGAATGGTGGATATTGACCTTAAACTCAAGCAAGAAGAGTTTGGAACGGTCTGATGGTCACCTACCTGGGGGAAACCATCAAACGGTTCAAACGTGCCTTGACTTAGTAATTGGATTATGGTGGATGCTAACCAAAGTTTACCAACCAACAGTGGGAAAAAGGTAACATGGTGAACTATGAATATACCAGAAACCAACTGTCCAAATATGTGCTCCTTTTGAACTACTTCGTGACCTTGTGAAAGCTGCTCGCATTTTGAAGCAGGCGGAGGTCTGCAAGATGCTGCAGAGCGGCCACAATGTGGTCGGCTGCGAGTACCGCAAGGTTTGGGGAGGTAGACTGTGGGCTTTGGAACCAGTCAAAAAATCTGGACATATCCACCAAAACCATGGGTTTACTAAGTTGACTAATAAAAAAATGCAGGAGATCCTCGTGCAGAACCATGCCTCCCGGCATTGCTTCAAGATGCTTCAAGGCACCATACTGGCATAAAATTACAGTATATAGTATAGTAATCTATATTAAGCTATATCATCCCCTATAGTTATTTATTTATCTATCCTGTTTTTATTTTAAATATATGTATGTATATATATATATATATGCAACTACTGTATTCTATAATCTTCTAAAACTCATTGAAAATCCCAGTGTTTACATGACAGAAGATCCCCTCAAGAAACCCCAAGACGGACCTTGATTTGGAGGTGGGCAAGGTGGTGAAGGAGTACGGACCCATGATCTTGGCATCCGGAGGCGCAAGAGATGGAGCCTCCAACTCACCCAGCGACAATCTACAAGTCGACCCTGTTTAACGGCTGTTGTTGTTGATGATGATAACGCGTTTCTTTTCAAACTCTTTTGCAACCTTAAAAAATGAGTTTATCTTTCAGAGGTTGAAAAAATGTTTTCCGATGGTTTTCCCGGCCGGAAGGCTTCGGTGGAATTCGTGGGAGCTTTGGCGGATGGATGTGATACAAGTAACTTTAGCGATAATAATATGGTGGTGTCCATACATGGGAGATCCCCAAAATGGATGGTTTCTAATAGAAAATCCAATTTCCAGAGATGATTTAGGGGTACCCCTATTTTTGGAAACCTTCATATATGTATATACTATTAGACATTGTTAAATATATCCACTGCGGGTCCGCGCGCGCGCGCTTTGGACACTGAGCTTGTGAGTCTTCGGCGCGCGCGCGCGGACCTAATCACTCAACACGCGTTGCTAACTAGATTACGTCGGGAAACACGTCCATTTTGGTGCAGCTGCAAAGTCCGCATACTGCCAAAGACTTGTGATTTACGAGATCAACTTGGCAAAGGCTTAGGGTTGACCCTGTACTCCAGGCGCAAGGTGGCTACTCCAAAGATCGCATCCTTGGGGGTGAGGCACAGCGGAAGTGGAGACCCCCGTTCTTGGCAAAACGTTGTTTGAAATCCTTGGGAAATTGGAGATCTAAGATGATTTAACTTGAAGAAACATGAGGATTTACGCATTGATTTATTCCTATATTTGTGTATGGTGATACCCTCTGGTAATTTGTTACAGTTTGCTATTGAACATGGCCCATTGAAATAGTGAGTTTTCCCAATGATAGCATGGTGAATTGCCATAGTTTTTTTGTATGGTTACAGGAGGGTATATACTATATACACCACATTTAAATCCCGGCTAGAAACCTCCCTTTAGTTCGTGGAATGTCCGACAAATCTTCCCCTTACTCCCACTATAATCCCAGTATAATCCAAGTGTACTTAGTATTGGAAAATATATGACAATATAGGAAAATATATGAAGTTATATGAAAATATAGAAAAATATGATAATCCCGGTATTATTATCCCATTAAATTCCATGATTTTCCTATATGTTTAATTACATATTTTCCCATAATACTCCCAGTAAATCCCAATAAATTCCAATAATAATCCCATAATAATTCCAATATATGTTCACATATTTTCCCAATATAATCCCAATAAATCCTATATTGTTTGGTTCCACCCAGCGAGCCGCTTGAACTTGCTTTGTGTTGTTTTTCGAGGTTAAAATGGATGGCTGGTATCCGGACCCGGCGTGGTATGAAGCGTAGGATGGGCTTCACCATGCTGGGAATTGATGGGAAATCCCCGAAAGTTTTAGTAAATTGCTCCATATTCATGGATTATCAATGGAATTGTCATAGCATATTACTGGAAAAATCGGATTATGACATTACCCTCTGGTTATTTAACATAGCCATGATATAGATGGCCTATTTGTAGATGCTTTACCTATTAAAAATGGTGATTTTCCATATCAACCAGGTTGCTTGTGATAGGTTGCTAAGTTGCATGGCTCTCCATGTAAGTGTAAGCTTTGTTGCCAGTTGCACCGGAAATGGTTTTGTTTGAAAATGGGGTCCCAAACCTATGGGTTTATCACAGTTGTCGCTGCTATTTGATGGCCATTTGCGAATCTACGCCATTCTCAAACAAATTCAAATCCCAGAATTAACGTTATGTTATGTTGTGTTGTGTTGTGTTGTGTTATGTTATGTATGTAATGTAATGTAATGTAATGTAATGTAATGTAATGTAATGTAATGTAATGTAATGTAATGTAATTAATGTAATGTAATGTAATGTAATTAATGTAATGTAATGTAATGTAATGTAATGTAATTAATGTAATGTAATGTAATGTAATGTAATGTAATTAATGCAATGTAATGTAATGTAATGTAATGTAATGTAATTAATGTAATGTAATGTAATGTAATGTAATGTAATTAATCTAATGTAATGTAATGTAATGTAGTGTAATTAACGTAATGTAATGTAATGTAATGTAATGTAATTAATGTAATGTAATGTAATGTAATGTAATTAATGTAATGTAATGTAATGTAATGGAATGGAATGGAATGTAATTAATGTATTGTAATGTAATGTAATGTAATGTTATGTAATGTAATGTAATGTAATTAATGTATGTTTGTATGTATGTATGTATGCATGGATGAATAGTATGGTATGGTATGGTATGGTATGGTATGAGATGTCTGACAAAGTCTGAATCTAATCGGAGTTGAAAACTGTCAGAAAGATAGCAAAGCAGATCAAATCAGATGATGTTTCTGAAATTTTGAATGGAGAATCCGACCACCTTGGATGTGGCGTTTTTATCGCTCCCTGGATCGCGCCAGGTCCATGCTGAGCGGAGCCTGACAAAGACAAAAATCAATGTTGCAAAATGTATGGCGCGTGGAGATTTGAGGGCAAGCTGTCCCTGTGATTTTGTCGGATTTCTGTTGCTTACGATACATCGTATCTTAAACGTTCGTTCCAACTGTGTCTGTGGAAAGCCCACGGGTGGAAATGTTGAGACAGACAAAGAGGAAAAGATCGGCCTGAGCTGATACTTCCACTACAAGTATTTGAAGTTGGCATTGAACGGAGAAGACCAAAAAAAAGTTCCTCTAATTGATCTTATTGCTTTTGTATTTAAGACCGTTGTTTTTTTTGACACGAAGAAGTGTTTCAGAATCCAGCGTGCAGTTTTTGGCTTCCCAAGCTTAGACATATGAAAGTACAAAGGGAGGCTACAAATGCGACACGTGCGTGTGACGCGCGAACCTTGGGTTGGCTAGATGTATTTTATCCAGTTTTATTTTTTGTGGAGTTAAGTGTGGGTCAAAATTGAGGCAGTCTGACGCAAAGACGGCTGAACGTCTACATCGTTGTACGCACCTTACGATTTCCGATAACCCAACCTTGTTTGCGTCAGATCAATGCGGTTTGTTTCGCCAAAGGTGGTGTCTGCTCCGTAGCAGACGGAGCCAGTCAACTGGTTCACGTGCAAAGCGCAAGCACCGACCTTACCCTAACAAAATCATCATTCTTGAATTTCACAAGATAGATTTTCACTAAGGTGATCAAAAGAGGCTGTAATGGTGAGCCAGAATCACCAAAAGGCCCCGGTGAGCCATAATCGCCCCCAGGCCCTGGCGAGCCACAATCGCCTCCAGGCCCCGGCGAGCCATAATCGCCCCCAGGCCCCGGCGAGCCACAATCGCCTCCAGGCCCCGGCGAGCCATAATCGCCCCCAGGCCCCGGCGAGCCACAATCGCCTCCAGGCCCCGGCGAGCCATAATCGCCCCCAGGCCCTGGCGAGCCATAATCGCCCAGAAGCATCATTGCAACTCAATCCCCAGCACACAAAACTACATCAAGTCACGTTTAGGTCCATGTCCGCTACAAAGGAGAAACATGTTGATTCTAGCGCATTAGGTTGTGCCCAATGTCGTCGGGTTCGGTATGCTAAAGCATGCACAGGGTTGACTACGGTCCTTTCTCGGTATCAAGAGTGGGCAGCGCCTTTCTTAAAGCTTTATTCTCGCTACCAAGTGACGCTGCAAAATGAAATGGTTGCAAAGGTGTTCAAAATAGGAATGCAGTTCCAACAGTTTCTGGCGCACACTGATGTAGCTTATTTTCGTGCTGCATGCCGTTTCAAAATTTCTATACATCCATGCGCCTGTCACTTGTGTACATGCATGTCAGTGGCCAAAAAAAATCCTACGAGGGCTTCGCATAAAATTGTTGACCAGCCAACCCACAGCCGCAGCCTCAAAGGAAAAGAACAAGGCGGCAAAAACAACACACGCTGGATAAAAGCAAGACAAAAAAAGCTACAACATGTGCAAGCTATCACCGGTAACACTTGTGGCATGCAAGGTCCGCACAGGCATTCTTTGACAATACACTCAGTCGAAAAATGCCATGGAACTTATGAATTGCGCAAGCGTAGCCGCAAAGGTATGCCTGAAGCTGTGTCCACCGACATATATGCCAAAAGTCATAGTAAACGACAACAAAAGAAATGCAAGGCTGTGCTAGTCGAAGCTTGCGCCCACTGTAAAAACAACACCAGCATCAAGGAAACGCACACTCAGTATTTGAAATGCATCAACCACACCAAGTACAAGAATGGTATACACTATCATGCCGATGATGCCAGTCCTCTTCGTGGTCGATGTATTGGGGGCAGACCGGCTCCAGTTTGGACTTCAATTTCTTCTACTTCTCCGTCTTCTTTTTCTATTTTATCTACCCCAAGCGCGCCAGTTTGCTTCTTGTGTTCGCGCTGTGCTCCTGACTATGTGCCATTTGCTTGTCAGAAAATATATTCTGCGAAGTGTTCCACTTGCAAGCGCGCTAATCGCAATCAATGTGGAAACCGGGAGGGCAGTTCATTCTTTTGCAAGTGGTGCTTTGACGAAGACATAACACCATCTGTAGAAGCCATACAATCAGCTGCGCAACAAACATGTAAAGCCATACGATCTATAAGAACGAAGATTTTGCCATGTCGCTGGGTGGGGCATGCACGCAAAGCACGCGCCCAGAGAATCTGGCGGAGTCTGCGCTCGATAGTCAATGGCAAGTTAGGTACTCAAAATCTAGCCCCAAGTAGAAGGAAGACAAAGGACAATGTGGAGCATATGAGTTCATGGAGTTTGCAACTCAAAACAGGCAAGAAGGATGCGGAAACTAGAAAGTGTTGGAGTACAACAACAAGACCCAATACCCATATGAAACCTGTCCGATTTCGAGGAGATGGAGCAGAAACATTACAGTCTCATGAACATGAAGCTTGGAAAGGCAGCAACCAAAAAAAGCAACCGCGACAACAAAGGAAACATGTCAAGAGAACTAGCTTTTGTGCAATCACCCGCACGTGGCGAAGTAGGACAATGAAACAGGTAGGGCAATCACGTAGCTCAACATACACTAATCGAAACCTAGTTTTTAGGTTCAAGATGTTTAAGACACGATGCGAAGGTGCCAGCTCTGTTTCTTCATTACGGCAGCATACTTTGTACCATCATCCACTTGTCTCTCCCCAGCTGCTGGGGTCGGCGGATCATTTGCATGGGAGGATTCAATTCCCGAAGCGTCGTTTTTCGCAAACTTTAGAGACACTTCCCGCAGAAAAGGTAGAGTCAAAAATGGCAGTAGCCAACAACACCATTGATGTGTCCTGTGACGCGTTGGGGTCGGTAGTTCAAACACACACGGGAAAGCCGTCCATTGAGCTCGAACATGCAAAACTTGATATGCGCGGGGCGCTGCCTGTGCGATGTCAAGGAGGCGGCACAGAACAATTGCAGTGTTTCATGTGTTTAGCATATAAAAGCGCATATGTCCCAAAACAATTGAATGATGAGTATGTGTCGCACTGCTACACCTGTGGTCGCGGAGCGTGCGATAGCCACGGATCCTGGGTAGTCGGGCACTTCCACTGTGCACTTTGCCATGCGACTGACGATGGTTTATTGGCGGAGGTAAAGGACACTTTTGCAGTAAGATGTCTCAGCAAAACCTTTCAGAACCAAAGGTTGCTACATACGAATGAGGAAGCATTTAACGACTTAATGCTGACTTTGTGCACGGGAGGAATAAACCGTCCAAGAGGAATTGGAAACTATGAGGAACAAGGCCTGAAGGTGCAGCCACAGGAAGCAGCAGGCGTAGAGCTTCCTTGGGACGACGCGCGGCAGCTGGTAGAAGCAATCGTACTGTCTCGAGTTGACACACCAGATGATGCAGTAAAGGTGCTCGGACAGAGTTGGGTGCCAACTTGGGACGGCTGGAAAGAATTGCGCCAATGTGCGACAGAGCGCTGCTGTGTTGCAATCGCAGAGCGACTGTGCGACATCGCCCAGCAAAATGCCCCTTACCAAAGCAAGACCGACACCCAAGCATTGCAGGCTTTGGCGTCCGAAGGGTTCATGTGGCGGAAAGCGCTGTCACACGGCGTGAATAACTGCTTGATCGATTCCCTGATGTTGTGCCTGTCGTATGAACACATTTTGCCTAATAACTTAACAACAGATGTCACAGCAAGGCGACGCGTTGCAGCTGCATGCAGAAAGCATTTGATTCAAGAGATTGGGGACGAAGTGGCTCCAGGCAGCAATGGGCTTTTCCCGTTCCTGGATGCGCATCGGGATGGCCCCAGAATTGTAGACTTTTTGTTCCATTGGTTTCGCGTTGTTGCGCGCACGAATATGCTAATTCATGTGCATGACAGATTTGGTGAGCAGGCTGCAGGTGCAGACTGGAATAAAATTGCAGTGAACCTTGGCCATAGGTACCCACAACAGACTGTTTTGCAGCTACACATTTATAACCACACTTCTGTTCGGGGTAGAGGGTATCATTTTGATAGCTTGCTCCCGATCACTGGGCGTGAAGCCGAATCAAAGAAAAAGAGAAGCCGTACCGTAGCGGCCACCAACGCAATGAAGATAGAAGCAGAGTCCGTTCTGACAGGAGCGGAACTCAATGATTTGCAGCGAGAGCCGCAGAGAAACGGTGGCACACCTGAGAAGCCGAGTTGTAACAAGGAGGCAGCAGAGCAGCAAGCAGATCAAAGAGCAGAAGCCGTATTTGCAAAGATGGCGTGGTACTTTCATGGCACGACTTTCGCGACATCCTGGCTTGATGCGCTGCTGGCAAATCTGATTTTTCATGGATATATGTTACAGTTTCCAGATTTGCTTGCGCGTCAGGATGCACGCTTTCACCTATGTAGAACATGCCAGGCAAGTTTAGAACCGGAGCAACTAGAGAGCGACAAAGCCTTCGACTTACAGCATCATCTCGCGAAGGCAATTTTGTTTTTCACAAGTAGGAGCCGAGATGAGGTGAATGCTGAGGTACATGTGTACGATTCAACTACCACTGACCTCAGTGTACCGCATGAAGTTTATACCATCGGTCGACTTGACAGCTTGCTGGTGCCAGTCTTCCGCCTCTATCGCTACAAAAATGGCCGTTACGCTGCCTTGTTGCCTGCTAACCCAGCAGAACGGCCTGTGTTCACAAGTGGCGACTTGCATAAAGCAGCCCAAGGTAGCAAACAAAACGACATGAATGCAACGTGCACTGTAGCGCCATCGACAAATTCGTTTGGAACAAGTGGCTGCGCTGCCGGCATAGGCGCAGCGCCCGACCTGTGCGCACCGCAGAGTGAGCAAGTGCGTGAAATCTTGCAGCGGTTCTGTGACCAAAGAGGCGCAGATGTGCAAGTTGACGAGACAGACGCGCATCGAGTGAGTGATGCTTGGTGGAACTTAGATGCACTGGGAATAATTTTGCACACCCTTCTGCAGGCAGGGTTGACTTTTGCAGACGCAGGCATGCATCACGCGCGTAGATTAGCAAATCAGTGGCGCGGTTTTTATAGTGTGCACACGCAAGGTACTGGGAAACGATTGTCAGATGGTTCAATGGAGACAGCTCAGAAGGAAAATGTCGGTCACAAGACGGCTGCAATAGATGCAGCTGCTACCTGCTCTTTGCACAGCACATCAGCCGAGAGACAAGAACCAACTAGTACCAGTGAAGTGAATCTGAGCAGTAATGCGCGAAAACGGAAGGCAACGCAGCAAGATGCAAGTGCAAGCCCACTGCGCAAAACAGAGATGAATGTGCCTCCTCGCCGTGTGCGCCACAAAGCACCGCCGGTCGGATCAACAACAGCACCACCATCTGGAACTGGTTCGCTGCAAGGCGCTAGCACTGACGCAGAAGATATCTATCCTTTGCGGCTCTGGAAGCCGTCGCAAGGAAACAAAGACCCTCGGGCAGCATATGATTTTGCAATGCAAGACGCAACAGCTCTTCTTTCAGACAAGCCTACATTGCCGGAACGCCTGCATGCCGCAACTGACCCTGAGATGGCATATGACTTGCCGGATTACCATTGCGCATTTCGAAGCTGCGGGTTCGAGTGTGCGACACAGGCGGCGCTCGCAGAACACGTTGCTCAGCATCATGCGATTGCGTTACATGACTTGGCATTACGGTGGTCATCACAGGTTGGCCCTGCGCAAGCGACATTCCAGGCATATCAAGACCTGCTAACGCAGCGCTGCCAACAGTCTGGTCCCCTTGCGACCTGTTCTATTGACCGACGCTGTTTGCGGAGATTCCGTTCTAACATGCTGGGTCACCATGTCGGTACCGCGATCTGCTTCGTGTGCGCGCGTAGGTTCCCATTCGTGGACGGTTTTCCGAACCAACAAATTTCATGGCTACGAGCATACGAGCCACACACTGGATTGTTCTTCGACCATGTTCCTGAGATGCTCGAAGCTTTGTTGGGGATGAGCACGTATCACGCACGTTATGTGACGACCTTGCCTGCTGATACGCAACCCGGTTTGCAATCCGAATTGGCGCAGTGGACCTGTACCATCGCTTGCGCCCCATATAATATGAGCCTGCTTGCATGCCCAGAAGATAAAAGATGCATACAGCGGTGTCCGTCGAATCGGCTGTGCACACATTGCGAGATACCTATGTGCATGTCTTGCCGCACCAGGATATATCGACAGAAATGAAGCCGCTAGAGGCACTGAGCAACGACTTGTTCCTGGGGCATCCGCCGAGAGAACTATATGCACAAGAATGCACGATGTTGGAATTATTATGCGCAAGTCCTTGCATGACTGCATTAACTTGTTTCAGCATTGAATGGCGGTATCTCCAAGATCGCAGTCTAGCCCAAGATGCGCTCATGAATCGACATCGTCTGTGTGCAAAGGGCAATGCCACGACATTCCCGCTCCCCTGGGAAGACCTGTTAGCAGAATTTGAGCGTCTGGGAACCCCGGCCACCAAGGCTTCCGTGAATATGCTGCCGCACGTTGGTAAGGAACTAAGTGACAAGGTAGCCGTCATCATAAAAATCGGTGACAAGACAGATAAAGAGGCAATACGTCAACAAATTATACATCAGGCCGTAGTTCGTCGCCGGGTCGTTGTCGGGCTGATTGCTGCCATGGTTGCGCGTAACCATCCGGCATATCAGGGTCTAGATATGGCAGTCGTAGAAACGCGCGCTGAGATGCTCCCCGAGAATGATGTGCCGGCTGAAATTATTGCGTTGCTTGACAACGATGGGAGCCTAAATCAGGTGTTGCGCCAAAAGGCTGCCACACCGGTGAATGATCAAATGACGGCCGAAGAGGCAAGACGAGAATTTGGTCACATGCTGAAACCCAATGCGGTTGTCCTGGAAAAGACAAGTGCTGGATGCCAAGACGTGAATGCTCAACATGTGTCTGCATTGAAAGAGATTGTGGCGCGCGCTGAGCCAGCATCTACACAGCCTCTGCCCGAAGTGACGTTGTATACTGGGACCAAACTTATGGACCAGTTCCAGCCGCTGTATTTTGCGTTGGCTTTCCCCTTCGTCTTCCCGTACGGCATTGGCTTACCCGACGTTCCCAAGTGGAGCCAGCGACAACGGCCACGAAGACACGCGGATGATCCATATGTGGAGCTGAACACGTGGGTGCGCGCCATGGCGCGGCGCATCGAAGCCCAAGTCAGTCGTGACTGGGTTTTTGGCTTTACATCCTGGAATTTGCTTTTCCGATCTGCGCTGAATCTTTCACGTACTACAGACGCCTATTCCCGCACATTCTTTGATGAGGACACCCAAGAATGGGTGCAGCCGACAGGGCGCCATGTCGAAGCGGCGGCCCAGCAATTGCTCCTTGCTTTAAAAGGATCGTACATAGATGTCAATGGGCAACCACGGCCCGTCAAGGGTGATGTCGCGAAGCTCCGCTATGTGCAAGGGCTAAAGCCTATGGCCCGAAAACTTTTAAACAACATGCGGCATACAGCCCAAGGCTTGCCTGGGACTCAAGAAGCTCGGAAAAGGATGCGGTCGAGATTCAAGCTATGCGTATCCGGTACGGAGTGCCGTTGTTTGTGACATTTACGCCAGATGAAGCGCATCAGCTGCTTTTTGTGCGGATGACGCGCGTTCGCTCCTGTGACCCTGTTCGCGCCGCCTCCATAGGGCAAGATTTCCCGGCTGGAGAAATGTTTTTCCCGCATTTGGGCTTGCAGGATGCTGTTGCCATGGGACCTTTCGAGCATGAGTTCACTTTACCGATGTCTTGGGCAGAACGCCGCGAAGTTCTAGCGCGGGATCCGTTGGCTGCCGTGGATGGGTTTCGGGTACTGACGCATTTGATGTTGAAGCATCTCTTCGGCGTTCGTGTGTGTCCATATTGTCCAGATTGCAATGGCTTCAGTGGACTGGAGCCGTGTCAAGACCTTCGCGGCAGCAACGCAGAAGCAAACGGTGGCATATTCGGTCGCGTGGACGCAGGATATATATCCCTCGAAGCTCAGAAGAGCAGCGGGGCAGAACATGGCCACATGCAAGTGTTTGTGCAGTGTTTGCATCAACATACTTCACTAGAGGAAATCTTCCGGCTTTCGCACGACAAGTTGGCTGCGTTGCGCGCAGAATACGAAGCATATAATGCACATGTGTGTCATGCAAGTTACGTGGGCCAATCGAATGAAGACATGGAACGCCGCATCGCCGCTGCGGAAGCATCCTGGCCAACGCACGAGCTGGATGTGACGATGACAACGATTCCGACATATCAACTGCAACGTGCTACTGAAACCGATAACGCCCAAAACGAAGCTGCAGACTGGCGAAGGAGCTACATGGCAGAAGACGTCGTCCAGCTGCAGCTTCTGAAACAGCATCACTACCATCCTTACAATGAAACTAGCCAAGGTCGCGTCCCATTGGCAGGCTGCCAAAAGAGTGACCGGCCAGGGCTGTGTAAGAGTGATTTTCCTCGCACGCAATGGCTCTGTGCGCAACCTACTGTATTATGTCCTTGCAAGTTGAAAACGTATGGGATGCCAAGCGGTGGACGAAAAAATCGCTTAGGAGCTTTGCATGGACCCTGTGGGCATGAGTGGTTAAATGGCTGCGCACCAGCAATGTTGGCAGGACTACGTGGTGCAAATTGCGATGTGCAGGTGCCATACCGGCTTCCATATTCATGTCCAACTTGCGGAGACCAATTGACAGCCGAAGAACGGCAGCAGATGTCATTGGCGGCGCAGCGGGCGCAAGATTCACAAACCGGGTATTGCGCGGATTACTGCTCCAAGGGCCAGCCGATGGGACATGGAGAAATCAGAGAATTCCAAAAAGGACACGAACAGTTGCATGCGCAGCATGCGCGGAAACCATTAGATGACCTAGGCAAGCGACATGCAAACCGATTCCTCAGCGATGCGTATCTCAAAGGCGTGGTGCGAGGACAGGTCGAATGTTGTAATCTGCGCGCCTATCATCGCGACGACACGGTCGTCTCAGCCGAACGCATTGCAACAACAATCTTCGAAAGCTTCCCTGGGGCTGCTTTTGCGGACTTTGTTGCGAAATATCACAACGGAGATGAGGTAGCGTCGTCCATGCGCCGCGCCGCGGTGAAATGGACTCGGAGGCAATCGTCTGGTGTCCGACACCTAGGGACACTTGATATTGTAGAAGTTTATGGGCACCGGCCCAAGACAGCAGAGGTGTGGTGGCTGTCGCCGTATGAGTTCGTTACAAATTGGGCAGTCACTATAGCTCGTGTACCTACGACGCAACGTGAATGGGAATTGGAAGAGCGTAGTAGCTGGGACGTTTCGTTGACGGCAGCAGGTCTCAAATTGATACAAAAGCAAACAGATCCCGACAAGAAGTTGCAACTGCAACCAGGGACTCATTATTGCCTGGCTGTGCAAACTACGCCGGGTCGAATATGTTTAGAAGATGGAACGGCAACAGCACAGCTCCGACACCGTTGTTATCTGCTACGTCGGCGTCGCCCGTGTTGCCCGCACTTTGAGAATTTCGCCCGTACCCCTGCAGAAAGCGGGTCAAGAAGAGGTAAACGCTAGATTGACCATGACCTATTTCCGCGCGTGGACCCTCGATGCGAACAATGCTAGCGCCAATGTTCCGTTTGTGGGCCGCTTGAAAGCGCCAACAGAAACTTGGGTACAAGCTCTGCGCATGTGGTTGACGCATTTGCCATGCGAAGAAACAAAACGGCACACCGGCAACTTCTTATCAGTCTACCGTGTCCGTCCCAGCGGTGCAGAGGAAGCGAACAGTGACGACAGTGGCATTGATGAACCGCTTCTAGTTACTCCCACTAGCCTGCCGACAGCTCTAAAAACGTCATTCCGGCAAACTGGCAAAAGGGCTACTGCACATAAAGCAGAACCAGGTCCAGAAGTGCACGATAAAGTTTTGGCAAGCTACGAGGAAGCAGCGGCGCAAGCGGAAGCAACATGGGCAAAAAACAACCAATATAAGAATGTGACGAATACAAAGACGCAGAGCAACAATACGTTCCACGCATACGATCCAGCCGCAGTTCGTCGGGCAATCAAAGCTTTAAACACGAAAAAAGCCGACAGAGCTGTAGTTCGAAAGATTCCCACGCCGGGCACGTGCGAAGCCGAGGCACGAGCAACATGTGAGAAAGTCGATGCCTTCCTACGCGATTTGCGCGGAACGAGCAAATGCAATCCGGAACAGCTAGCGTTCATCGAAATCATCTGCGCCCGGGTGAAACATGAAGCTGTGTCCGGACAAGAGCGCGGCGGCACGGTAGACACCAATACCGAAGCGTTGCGCTGGGCGCTTCATGGCGGCCCAGGCACAGGTAAGTCATACGTGCTGA